GAACTTGAGTCACAGGCACCATCATCGCCTCGGAAATTCCTCGGCTGCCAGGAAAACCACTATAACCACGACACTGATCTCACCTGTCACCAAAATACCGGAGCTGAGAGGATTTGAGTTTGGCGCGAACTCAAGGGTAAAGCGCCAGAGGGCAGGAGCCTACGGTACATGACAGGAGCAGGATCTAATAGGAACCGAAAATCAGAGAGACCACTCCTGATTGGCTCGCGGTCATGAGGCAAAGTGCGTACACGACGACGCCATATTGAAGGATCAAAGATCAATGCGGATTGGCGGACATCACCCCCCAGAGTCAACTGCAGGTACAAGCATGCTACCCTCAATAACCGGAGAGGGCACCACAATGCAGTGAGCCAATGAATGAAGCACGCTTATTGGCTGTTTCTGCGAGAATCGAGGACAAGCTAGAGACTTTCTTCGGAAATACGTCACCCCCCCAAGGGAACGAGGGAGAAATCCGGCGTGGTAGCGGCACTCTGCGTAGCCATCTTTTCACCTGAACATCTCTTTTCGACTCGTGTAATAGTTTCGTGGTTTTGTGTCTTTCTTCGCGTTTTCTCGTCTTGGAGAACAGCTCCAAGCCGAGAGGGAAGACCTGAGGGCACACCGGAGGACCAGGATAATTTCTGGAGAGGTCCAGAACGGAGAAATTTGGGAAAAACCCGTGGCGTCAAGGCGGCCCGGCAAACAAACCACATGTCGGAGCGAGTCAGCGTGGAGTGAGTCAAGATATTTAATATTGTTGAAATTGCTGGCGCGCGTGGGGTTTATTCATTACTTTGAGGGTTTCGAAGGGTTCGTGGGCCTTTTGCCCGGCCCTTGCCATGGTAAAAACCGGATAATTGAGATCGTAGTGGGACGCTAGAACGTGACGAATAACGCACACGTGGGGTTTCTGAGGGCGAAGTAGACCTCTAGGGTCACATGAAGGGCTCGGAAGTGCCTTTGGTTTTTCTCCGGAGAAGTTAGTGGAAAATTTATTGTGATATTAGGGTTATTACTATTACTCAGTCTGAAAGGGGTCTAGGAGACGCAGGCGTCTCTTTTCCGTATTCTAGAGTAATTCCAGTGGCGAGAGATTCTGGAGGAGACATCGTCGGTCTGGGGGCTAATTCACGATTATTTTGCTATTGTGCACGGAGACCAACCGGACTAGAGGAGTTAGGGGTGTGCAAGGAACTGAGAATATTAGCGTTTCAGAGATTTTTGGTGGGTTGAGGGTTGCAGTGATTCCGCACAGGGCCTGTGACCCTCTCAATACATAGCCTCAGGCTAGCCTGATTTGGAAGGTCAATTCGCGCACATTCCTGGTTTCTCAAGATCCGTTATTATTGTATCGAGCCCCTAGATCCCGGTTCGAGCCGGAGCCTAGCATTGTTAGAGTACCAGAGACAATACGATTCTTCGATTATTAATGGTCATTAATTACGGAGATTGCGGAGTTAGCCTTCCGACCGATTCTCACAGAATAGGGATAGAGTATCTGGGTTAGCAGAGCTCGTTGCGTAGGGCTTAACTGACCGGAGTCATTTGTGTGAGAGTTTGGGAATTTTTTTTTTTTGGAAATAATTGTTATTATTAGGATTACGAATTTGAGTGTTACTATTTTTGATTTCATCAAGGGCGGTCGGAATTGTTTTGATTTACCGATACTCCTAGAAACCGGAGATCGTTCACGTTGGAGATTATTATTCTCATTATTTTCTTCGATTATTTTATTTTTGAGTTCTTTTTTTAAGTCGGGCACGAAGTTATGTGCGTCTTTTTCCTTTGTTTTATATTCACATTCACATTTAATTTTCCGACCTACGGAGTTTTCTTCATTATGTATTTTCTAGCGTATCAATAGGAAAAATATACGCCGCTCTTGATTAACTGGCTTTGAGTTGAATTTCTTTTAGTTGTAATTATCGATCCGTCAACCTATTCCTAACCTCCAGTCTAATTTAAGTGGTTAACACGATCCCTGGGGACAACAAATCGGTAAGCCAGGGCCTTGCACTCGTGTTCCGGAGACTGCGGAGCGAGAGGAAACCATCGAAGGGAGCATGATTGGTGGAAAATCGAGTCAGTAGAATCGTGTGAAACAGGAGTCATTCAGTTCGGATCAAATTTCCATTGGGAATTTTTTTTTGAATTTCTGGGTTCTGTTCTAGAGTCACGTCGAGTGTCACGTATTTTGTCACAATATAAAAGATGAAACAATAAATGATAATAACTTTTCAGAGTTGGAAATTGATGAGAACGTGAAAGGAAATGTTTCCTTCACTAGTGTTATCAGTAATGTAGGCGAGATAGATTTAGCACAAAAGGAAGATGAAGTGTATCATGCACTTTTAGCAAACATAAATGAAGATCCCTCAAATTATCGAGAAGCTATAAACAGTAAAAATAAAGATTCTTGGTTAAATGCGGTTGATGAAGAATTAAACTCGTTAGAAAGAAATCAAGTATGGAAAATTGTCAAAAGACCTCTAATTATGATGAATGGAAAAAGATTAAATGTCATCGATTCAAAATGGGTTTTTAAGTGTAAAAATGAGGCAAATGGAAAAATAAGATTCAAAGCGAGACTAGTAATCAGAGGTTCCAAGGATAAGAACATTTATGAATTAAGGGAAACTTATGCTCCAGTAGCTCGTTTACCTTTAGTGAGAATAGTTATATCAATTATAAACAAATATAATCTAGAGGTGTGTCAGCTAGATGTTAAAACTGCTTTCCTCAATGGTGTAATAGATGAGGAAATTTATATGGAAATTCTAGAAGGAACTCATCATACTGACAAAGATGGGCAAGAAAATGTGTGCAAATTGGAGAAAGCACTTTATGGTCTTCGTATCAGTCCCAAACGGTGGAATGTAAAATTCACTGAAGTAGCTTTGAGTATGGGTCTGCAGAACTCGGATTTAGAACCTTGTCTATTCACTTGGCGAGATGAAGACAAGTTCTTGCTTCTGCTACTTTATGTAGATGATATGTTATTGGCGAGTAATGATAACGATAAATTGGCTGAAGTAAAGAGTAACTTATGTAGCGAATTTGAAATGACAGTCCTGGGAGAACCCAAGGAATTCTTGAGCATGACTATTAGGCGGGACAGAGAAAATCAGATTATCAAATTAAATCAGGAAAATTATATTCAAAAGATATTAAGTAGGTTTGGCTTTGATAAAGCATATCCACAACGTACACCAATGAATACTTCTCAAGTAGCTAATAATGAGAGAAAATTAAGAGAAACAGAATATGATAATGGGACTTTGGAAAGGACAGACACAAAGGCAAACATTCCTTATAGAGAGGCCGTAGGTAGTCTTTTGTATTTAGCTGGTGCTACGAGACCAGACATTGCATATGCAGTCAATGTGATAAGCAGACATCAAGTAAATCCTACAGGAAGTGATTGGGAAATGGTAAAAAGAATTTTTCGGTATCTGAGAGGTACTACGGACTTGGGTCTGAGATATTCAGGTGAGACCAATGACATTCAGGGTTATTCTGATGCGAGTTTTTCTGATTGTAAAGATTCAATCACAACTTGTGGATTTGTGATTAAACTGTTTGGTGATTCGATCATTCGGCGAACTCACAAACAAACTACAGTAGCACTTTCTACGTGTGAAGCTGAGTATGTTGCAATGAACGAGGCGAGTCGAGAAATGATGTCGTTGCACAACTCTTTGAAACTGATACTGGTTGATCCCCCTGTTCCAATGATCTTAAGGTGTGATAATAAATCTGATATTATGAGTGCAGAAACAAATGGAGGAATGAAATTGAGACACATTGTAGAGAACAAATTACATTATATAAAGGAATGTGTTAAAAAGAATTATATAAAAATCATTTGGATTGGCTCAAGAGATCAGCTAGCTGATGTTTTCACCAAACCATTGACGTTTGAAACACACAAGCGTTTGATGGACCTAATGATGAAAGTAAATATTTAAATTATTTTCTTTCTGTTTGTCTAGGAAATAACTAATTTGGCGAGACCTTCTTGGAGAGATAAAATTGGCGAGATGGAAAAACTAATGAGATTTAACTGACGAAATTGCCTGGCGAGGATACTGAGGCGAGATAAAGTTATCAAATAAGAAACTTTGTGATAAACGAGAACAGATTATTAGGAGAGAAAAAGACGAGAGGAATCAAGGATACTGTCTATGGCGGGAGGGAGTGTTGAATGTGGCGCCTTACGCCAGTCTCCTTATTGCCGACAGTGTAGCTGACTGTGTCGCCACGGCGCCGTAGCGCCTCTATGAGATATACTCGTACTATGCACCACTTGTGCCTCGACCGTTGTCGTGTTACGTTGCTGAATAAAACTTAATTACATTCACAATAATAAAACTGTGTTTAATCGTTATTTCAATCCTAAATAACCCTTCAGTTACACGACAATATTATGACTTGATCCGATAGATATTATCACGAAGAAGATTTTGGCGTCAGAAAAATTCAATTCGGTCATGTAATTTTTGAGATATTGAGGAATAAAGATTTTTTAGAAATTGCTGTATCTCGGAAACTACTGGGCCGATTGTGCTGAAACTGCGACCAGAAATGCTCCAAAGAAATACCAATTATGGGACAAAATTTCAGATTTTTAGCTGCAACTTTAGTCCTTTATTTGTCGTGATTTATAAAAATTTTCGAAAAAATCGACCCACACTTCCGGACACACATACATACATGATCATCAAACTTTGTATTTTTACGTTTCAGACCATTCTACACATTTTCAAGCAAAATTGGAGAATCGAAAAATTGACCGATTACAAAGCTTCCATTCGGAAGCAAAAATCACAGAAAAACAAGAACGAATTATGACGACACAATGCTTGTATATGAACGATCAGACGATTTCAACCGGCTATAATTTACTAACTTTTCATTATTTGTCGAAATAAAAACACCTGTCTAATATTTCATCAAATCCCATACAGAACTCTATTCGCTTCATTATTACATACCGGAAACAGTCGTCGATCCCGAGGATCTGCGATCATCCTTTGAGATTTTTCGAATGGATGAAAATTTTGGCACTGTAACAAAAAAAATAATACATTTTGCAGTTTTTTCCTCCATTTTTTTTTTTTGAAAAGAACGCGTGACATGATTTTTGAATGGCCACAGTTTATCATGATTTTCCAAAGTAAAAAAATACATATCTCATGCGCTCCATTCAATTCTTGTATTTCATGATTGTATTCCATAAATAAATCTCCTCATGCAATAATTCAATTCATATGAACATGATGGATTATTTGAAGCTCAAAAAAAGTTGAGGAGCATTCTGTGATTCGGCTACTGCTCCCGAGCGTCCAGCAAGTGGAACACTTTTACTACAAAAAGGGGATCAAGTATTACGTAAGCATAGGTGAAGGAAGGAGGTCCAGGATGTCTGACAATGTAGGGAATATTCTGACATAGTGAGGGGGGGGGGGCGTAAAAATTGCGCAAAAATTTGCTTACGTAATACTCGAAGGAGCCCAAAGAATTGTACTTACATGTATTAGACACCCTCTGTGAATGCAATTGTTCATAGAGCTTCTCTCCATAAGCCTGATCATGTAAAATAAAATCTCGTTTCGTCAAAGTGGTGAGTTCTTTTCCAGGCATAGCCAAAGTTTGTTGAATCGAGCAGTAGGGCTGTCCCATATGTGATGCGGCTGACATGAGCCAGTTTATCGTGTCCCCCTGACTCCAGTCCTCAATCCGCTTCGTGGACCATGCATAACCATCATCCTCATTGTCATCCCCTGAATAAATCGATCATGAATTCGTAACAGCAAGAGATATCAGTTTTAGAGCTGCGGGACACTCGTTTTTCAAACATGTACCGACCATTCGCGTTCTAATGCGTAATTCTTGTTTTAAACAATGAAATATGATCGCTGAACGCCAGGTAAACAATTTTAAATTAATTTTAGGTATTGCAATTATTTAGTATTAGCAATTAAATTGTTCAAATCGCCCTATCACCCAAGCTATGAAACTATGAATAGTTTCTGCTTACAACCACGGCCCCTACTAAATTATTTCCCAGAATTGTGGGCGGGTGTCCGCTAATGAATTTAAACCTCCTTGAATCATCTCATATCTTATGATGGATGTTCACGTAGTTGTACGGGACTTCCCATCCGGCACCTCCCTCCATGAGGCAAAATTATTATTTATTAGGGGACTTCGCCTCCTGCTCGCTTCGCTCGGCAACCCTGGGGGGGATTCGCCCCCCCCCCGCACGCTTTGCTCGCTCCCCCCCCAATCTTTGGTGCGGCTGCTTGGATATGTTTCAGTTATGAAGGTTCAATAAATGGTGAGTGGATATTTTGATCCGTATGACCCTTATTTTGACCCTTGGGACCTTCATGATCCTTACAACCGTCGTGACCCTTGTTGACCCCAGTGATCCTCATGACCCTCATGAATTGTGTGACCCTTATAAACCCTCTGACTTCGTGACCTTGAGATAAGAGATACGAGATGAGGACCTCTATTTTGATTCGCCTGATCCATATTTTGACCCTAGGGACTCTTGTGACCCTCAAAAATGTTTGACCTTTGTGCCCTCGTGAAACCTGAAAATATTTGCGTTGTTTTAATTTACAAAATTATTATATTGTAGAGAGATTACATTAAGGTATAAAATTGAAGCATTCAGCGTTACCCACACTGATAGCATGATTCATTTATTTTAAACTAGATTCGCTAACTATGAACGAATGGTAGAGTTGAATATGACCAAATAAATATTCGTTAATAGTTAACGAATGGTTCACTTGAAAGGTGAAAGTCGAGTCAAACAAAGCTTCTCAAATATGCATTTGTTAACTATTAATAAATGAATATTTGGTGAGACCGAAGAGACCCTAGACTTAAACTAAATCTACTTGTTAACAATAACTAATCCTTTCTATCAGTGCAGGGTTCGCGACGTGGACGCAGATGGTATGAACCCCCAAAAAGGCCCACATGAAGAAAATTCACACATGGTATATGAATTTGGAAGATAAATATGAAAATAAATTAATAGGAGATTATAATATTTGTAGCCGTTGATGTAAAGTGAAAGCTGAAGAATAGACAAAAATTTTCAAATCATGAATCATCTACAATTTAATAAGGAATAATTTTTGTCTATTTTCAATTTTACGTATCTCCCGTAGATTCCGAGATATGAGCAATAAGCTAGTTATGCGACTCGACATAGCGCTCTCTGCTTGCGACGCGGGGGGGGGGGCTTGAGAGCGCTGTGTTGGGTCACGCAACTCTTTCCATGCTCATATGTCCAAATCTAAAAAAGATATGTGAAATTGACGAAAAACAAAAATTATTCCTCATCAAATTCTAAACGATTTGTGATTCGAAAATTTTCGTATATCTTGCAGTTTGGGCGCTAGGGCGATTTGAACAATTGAATTGTGATTAATAAAGATTTGCAATGCATAAAATTGATTGGAAATTGTTGACTTGACGTTTGGTAATCATATTTCATTCTCCAAAAAAAGCATTACACAGTAGAAAGCGAGTGGTCGGTCGGTCAATTTAGAAGCGCTTTTCTGGGGGTGTCTCGCAGCTCTATTTTTTCCTTGTTCCTATCTCCAGCAGCTTTCGCAAAAAATCGTATTACCTACGGAGTACGTCTTCTTTGCAGTCTCACTTTGTCTCTCGTGTGGAGTCTCTTCAACTCGGGTCATTTCCATATCCAGAATATCGTTGTGTAGATCATCGTCGTGCAGTAACGTTGGCCAGAAAGTCTGTAATGTTTTCGGCGGATGACGAAATGTTTGTTTTATTACGTGTCGATGAAGCAATGTCTGCTCCATTCAGGGAATTTACTACTCGTGCTTGTGTTGAGGAAAAACTCCCGACAGATGAGGCGATAATTGCCGCGAGGATCGACAGGAAAAAATTATTGAGTATTGTTGATGTAGAACTGATCAGATTGATTTGATTCGTAAGATCATCTACTATCGGATTGAAAAGTATAGGGGGCCCGACTTCAGAGGTTGTTTTTGCAACGAACAATAACCCAACGCATTCAACTTTATCGTTTTTATGGGTATTTAGTATATCTAGAATATATTTCTGAAGAAAAAAAAATGATACTGATGTATAGAAATGTTTCAAAACTAACAAAGAACTGTAGCGCTAGGGACGTATACTTTTCAATCCAATGGGTGAGTATTTTAAATTTGAATTTTTTTTTCTTTCTCGTAATACCCTTTCGGATTTTTACGTTTTATTCCTGTCCCATCCTCCAATCCCCTAAACTCCCAGGAAAACAGCAGAGTTCTCAAACAAGTCTTACTTGGGCTAAAAACATTGTTTGTTACAAATTATCAAAACAACGTTTTTCTGTGCCATACTTGCGAAGCGTACGCCGAGATTGAAAATTCTTATTACAAAAATAGATTTAGTCTTCTCAAAAAAATTTTATTCTCTGCGCAAACGAGAAATGTGATTTCTAGCACTTAGGAAGTGAACTCACTAGGGAAGTTTGATCTACGTGTCAATATCTATCGATAAAAAAAATTAGCCACTGGTACGTTGACAATGGGTTTCTCCTTTTCTAAAGCATTTTTTGGGGGCTGTTTGCAGCTCTGCCAGTTCTAGAGACGCAAAATGACCGTCATTTTTTAGAACGCGTCATATGATGAAAACTGACGCGATGTGATACATAAATTTTTTAACTACAAATGATGGTCACAAATAATTTGTGAGCGAATTGTTGTCGAAACATCTGTATAGATGCATAATGACGGTCATGATGAATTTCTGATTCGTGACTGGAGATGTGGAATGACCGTCATTTTTCCTTTCGCTCCGAAACTCCGCGACCCTATTAGTCGCGGAAAAATTACGAACGCCGTTGGTCGCGCCGTAAGCGCCGCGGCTGCACCAGCATAGATCGACATAATGATAAATTTGAAAGGTCTAGGAAAAATCAGAACAAAATCAAGAGTGATCTAGATCGTATACTTGAAGAATTCCCGTGAGGTTTTGTATGTTCAGTGGTACCCTTAATTATATATTCAAGCTCAAAGCTGCCATGTTTTTCTGAAAATTATCTCATACACGCTATACGGCCGGGAGTTTCGGAATAAAAATTCGAAAATCCAACTACTTATGATATTTTTGGCGGATATTGTCAAATTTTTTCAAATTTCTCTGAGGCTTTACTGCAGTGTATCAGAAAAAGTGCGGCGCGGCACTCATAACGCGACCAACAGTGTTAAACACACGTTAATATAAATAAAAAAGGTTTGGTTAAATCTATGCTCGATCGGCAGTCTGGTATCCTGATGATAATTAATTTAGAAGTGTCAAAATAACACAAAGTCTTATGAGAAAATAAACATTTCAAAGTTAGGGATAAGATTAAAATGTAGAAAAAAAAATCCTGAAAAATCATAAAAAAAGTTTTTTGGCTATCAAAATTATCGTTAGTGTCGCATTTTTTTAAATAGACAATTTATGTTTCTAGGTCCCTCGAAATGACCTGTAATGTGAAAATGGCAACGTTGTGTTGGTTGAACGCTGGCCATACACGTATGAAAAAATCGTATAGAAATTGTCTATACGCTTTGCGTATCGGAATTCTATAGGATTTCCGTATATGATATTCGGATATTTTTATACGAATATTTTCTATACGAATTATTTCTATACCTAAATTTTTTACATAAATTTTTGTTTGCATACGTAAATGTCTAAACGCTCCAGAGAAACACGTAGAGAAATGTCGCAACTCCATACTAAATGTTTCTATACATGTGGCAGTGGGTCGTATGGGATCAAATCTATAGAAATTGTATAGAAATAATTTGCTTAAAAAATATCCATATAGAAATATCCGAATATCAGATACGAAAATCCTATAGAAACTCTATACGCAATCCGTATAGAAAATTTCTACACGATTTTTTCATACATGATGCCCTGGAGAGGATTGTTTTTATGTACGGGTTGCCACTGACTGACACCCCATAATCAAATGAGAAAATATTGTTTAAAAAATAATTGAAGAAAGAATTTAATGAATTAATTTCTTACATTCATCAAATTTACAATTGATATAAAAAATAATTGTGACATCCGTCGAAAATATTAAAGTCACTTTTTCTTTTTGCTTCCGAAGGGAAGCATTATTTTTGGTCGATTTTTCGATTTTCTAATTTTCATTGCAAATGATCTAGAATGTCATGAAACGTGAAAAAATGATGTTTTTGAGGTTGCGTCTGTACGTATGTATGTGCAGAATGGCTGTTTTGGGGGTTTATTTTTAGAAATTTTAACATAAATAATGCTTCCCTTCGGAAGCAATACGGTGAAATTCGCAGATAAAAACTTGAAATTTTTACTGATGATAGCTATGAATAAGCCCCACTTTGTGGCTCCATTTGGGCTCAATCGGTCCAGTAGTTCCTGAGATATTGCCAATTGTTTAAATTTCGTTTTTCAGCTATATCTCCTCAATAAATGCACCGATTTCAACTTTTTTTTTTCAAAATATTCGTCTCGATGATCTCTACCTGAATCATTCATAATACATAGACCAATCACTGCTGAGTCTAGGAATATTGCCGTTAATCGGTTTTTTTGTGAAAAACGTTGTGCGCGCGATAACTCGATAAAAAATGTTAATATCGATTTGAAATTTGGTATGCTTGTAGCTTTTATGACATAGATGGATGGTATTTTGAATGGGCAAAATCGACCGAGCGGTTCGCGAGATATTCAATTTTTTGTAGAAATCCATTTTGGCAAATATCTCCTTAACTATTCGAGGGATTAAATTTTTTTTTTTTTTGAAATACTCGTCCCAATGACCTCCATCTGAAGCACCCATAATATATCGAACAATCGCTGTTGAGTCTAGAGATATTGCCGTTAATCTGTTTTTTTGCGAAAAACGTTGTGCGCGCGATAACTCGATAAAAAAGGTTGTTGTTGACTTGAAATTTGGTATGTTCGTAGCTTTCATGACATAGACGAATGGTATTTTGAATGGGCAAAATCGACCGAGCGGTTCGCGAGATATTCAATTTTTTGTGGAAACCCATTTTGGCCAATAACTCCTTTACTTCTCGAGGGATTAAATTTTTTTTTTTTTTTAAATACTTGTCTCGATGACCTCCATCCAAAGCTGCAAAATGATAACATGAGATAGTATTTTTACAACGATAATTTTTTATTATAGATTGACAGGCATGGTGTTTGCCAATATTGGAGTGCAGAATATTAATGGGACAAGATTTTATGCTTTAGTCCTTTTCAACGGATATTTCGGAACAAGATCGAAATTAGTGAAAATATTAATTTACGACGAAGATGTAATTGAGCTTCTTACGAATCGATTCCCGAGGGATCAAGTTAGTTAGATAATTGTTTTGAGTATTTGATTGAAAGAAAAAAACATGTCTTATCGAACTATAATTTGATTTCAATAGTTGATCCAAATTCGGAACGCTATTCCATATGAAAGAAGAAAAGTTGCACTATGGAATACCATCTGGAATGAGAATGATTTTTTTGAATTCGAATGGGACGTGTATTCATCAGCACAGATCAGTCTGTTTTGGAAAATACGAATGAAATCGAGAGAAATAATTGAATCGGAGTAAAACCACATAATTTTACATATGAAATTTTTAAGAGGACGAAATGATTTTATATACTACGGTTGAAATAATAAAAATAAAAAATAGACGATGCACTTCTTCCCTTCGGAAGCTTATAACCAATGTAATTGGTAGCAGAAAAATGAAGACTTTTGACATAACAGTGTGGTGTCACAAGTCTTCTGTCGAATAGGGTCGGTCGCCTGCTTGTTTTTTTAATAAATTAAATAACATTCGAACGGGAAAACCGTTAAAATTAAAACTCTCTCGCGCCGGGATTTTTAGTTGAAAAGGCCCCGAAGGCCAGCTGCAAGTCGTAAAATTGCAGTTAACATTATCCGAGCTGACTTTTCCCCGAAAAGTCGGTCATAAAGTAATAGACATGGGTCAGGGTCTTGTCATGCTGAAGGCATTTCAAGTGCACGCCCAGTCTATCTCTTTCTTTCTTTTTGTCTTTTAATTCCAACGTGACGTGTCCAATATTCAAGGGTATTGGGGAAACTCAAACTGTAGCTTATCTTAGCTTGGGGTCTGTTTTCTTTCAAGGCCCAAACCTTCGTAAAACCAAATCCGAATTTCCGGCCCTTTTGAAATCTTAATGGGGGTTCTTCGAGTTTCTCTTCGTAACGGGAAGTCATAAATTTATTTTGACAATTTTCAAATGTTTTTAAAAATATTCTTTTAAATTAATAACTTCAATGCAGGATAATTGAAATTTCATGACAATTATTTTGATATAAAAAACTTTTCGTTAGGACAATTTTAACTCATACTTTCGAATTATTTCCATTTCGAAAGAATATTTTACTCAATTTAATTATATATCTCGTTACGAATTGAACTCCGTCCAATTCCTTTATGGAAAATTATTTTGTTTCCTTTTTCTTTTATTTAATATTTTTCATTAACGATTATCAAATCAAATAACTTCATTCATTTGTAACTTGCGGGAATTATATTTTCTCGATTCTCATTTCAAAATTTCACGTAAGAGAATTCATTTTCGATTGAGTTGAATTTCGGAATTCAATCTCAAATAATTAATTTTCATTTTCTTTTTCTTTAAACCGAGAACGGCGTAATAAGACATAATTATTAAAATATTTAATTTTAAATTACCCGAAATAATATTC